GCTTGATTCTTCCTTGAATGGTAATTTCTTCAGCTTCCCAATGTTGCATTAATTTTCGAAACATTTGTTTTTCTTCATTTCGTAACGAAGTATCTCAATCGTAATTGGTCTTCCTTCCGCAAACTTTGCAAGAAATTCTTCAGTGGAAGCAAAATCGGTGAAATTAATCCCAGTGGATCAAAATGAGATGCAACTTGCCGAAGGGTTATTCGTTCAATTGGTTCGCCATATGTCCATGGCTTTATGCTGATTGTTATCGTGTCTTCCGTTGTTTCCCATGTTATCCCTAACCTTTTGATGTTGCTTTGTTCTGTATGATCAGCTTTCGGCACAGATTCGTTGAATTCTTTGTTATTTGATATGAACTCTCTGATATTCATTGATGCACCTTTAAAGACATTCTTTAGCCCCCAGCATTTTTCTATCGCTTTTTCTGGATTTTCCGCTGCTATCAGTATGTTGTCGACGTATAAGTTCTGCAAAGTTTGTTGCGTAGTTGGGGTGTTGACCTGCTTCAAATGATAGTGTAGCGTTTCCATCAACAGGAACGGTGAGGAAATAATTCCGAATCGTACACGGGTGAATCGAAAAGCAACGATGTTACCCTCTATTACGGGCTTATTATAAATCACGCACCCATAAACAACGAGTACAATTTCGATCTTTTTGTTTGAGCTCCAGTTGCAAGAACACTTTTTCGACATCGCAAACAATAGCTATTCCCATCACTCTGAACTGAAGTAATATTCCTACTAGCTCAGGTTGCTGGTCCATCCCACTTGTTATTCAACTATTCTTTTGTTCAACTGGTCTTGAAACGTTTGAACATAATTTTCGAGTAAAGCTGGATGATTCTTTAGTCGCCTGATCACTGATCCAAGTCGTCCATGGCACATTAAGTAATGGCTATTTATTTGAACTTGCTCAAACTTCCACGGCCATCTAACTTGGTATCGATCTTCTATTTTCGTTACCGATTGTTCAAAAAGTTTGACAGCCATGCCATCGTCGTTTTCTTGGGAGATTCGTTGATCCCAGTTAGCTCTAGTTTCCAAAAATTCTTCACTTCGTTTTCTAGCTTGACTGTGTTAAACACAAACATGCTTTCCGACTGCGTCTTCGTTGATTTTGGTGTTCCTTTTATATGCCCGCTTCCAGACAGCATTAATCCAACTTTAGTATGCAACAACTGAAAATCTGATCGCATTTTACGAGATTTGTTAGGTTCAATGAACTTAAAGAAGTCCGCCCCCACAAGTAACTCTGGTTATTCCCACTTCTGTTGTAACCCGTAAAGTTGAGTTTTCCAAGCTACCTCATCTGCTTCTTCGTCGGTGATACAAATTATTTGCAATTTATTAGTCAAATAATCGATTGTATTTACATCGAGCACACAGACGT